ATTTTGCATTAAAAGTATTTTGAACCTCAAATAGCATACATATCAAAATCATATGAGAACAAAAAGAGCAAAAACAAACATATAAGAATTTAGAAAGGTAACCTCTTATATACATTTGGGGGTTGTTGTGGTAGAACTACTCAAAGAGGTATTCTAGCCAAATTAAAATATTTCAAGAAAAAAAGATTCCAAAATCCATAAAACAGTAGCACTTATCCAGGAGTGCAGACAGGTTCCATGAGGACAGCCAAGCGTCAGGTAGTGAGTGTATTTATTCAAACTGGCCATTCAACAAAGAGTGCAGTTAAGAAGCTGGATGATCCTGGTGTTATGAAAGTGGAGCTCATATCGTTCTTCTTTCAACAGGAATAAAATAGGGGGGATTATAAACTTCAGGAAAATCACAGTCCAGGGCTGGCTGGTTAGCTCAGTTGGTTACAACATGGTACTACTGATAACACCAAGGTCCAGGGTTCAATCCCTGTACTGGCCAGCCGCCAAAAAAAAAAAAAAAAAAGAAAAAAAGTAAGTCATGGCCCAAATAGACAGCAAACTAAACTAAACAAGGAATAATTCTGAAGAACTGATTTCGTTATAAGGGAGAAGAATTCATGTTGCCTTAATTATTCAAAGGTCACCTGCTCTAAGAGGCAGAGAATTATCTCTTTTGCATTCAACTCACTGCACTCACCTGTACTCATGTTTTGTTCATGGCCAATATTAATTCCTTAAAAAGGCAAGTTAGTGCAAAGATTTCATAAATTAAAACCTTAATTCCTTTCCTTTCTATGTAAAAAGCTGTGATTGTTACTTTAGGCTCCGCAAAGCCGCACTCATTTAAAACATCAAATATAATTATGTTTAATTTATAAGAATCACTCATACAAAAATCAAAGTAGTTTATGCAATGTTTCATAAGCAAAATTATTTATATATTATATAAAAGATTATGGTTAAAACTTTCAAAGGCCTTTGAATTTTGTCAATGATGTACTAGCAAACACTCAAACTTATTCCTTTCTGTTTTTAGATCAAATATTAGGGTAAAGGGACCCATGGATGCCTAATATCCCAGGACCTTCTTTTTCATTCTTCAAAATGAAATAGAAAAACAGACCAGTTTTAAAGGCATCTGGACTTTTTATATGAAGATCATTTGTAGTTGTTCAGGGAAGATACTGGTTGCCGCTTACCTATGAAGGCAGCCACGGGGTCTGTGCTGCAGCTCCCCACCTAACCCAATGTTGAGTTCTAGTAGTGAACTGCAGTGCTAGTCATCTGTAATTAACAATAATTTATTGTATGTTTTCAAATAGCTGGAAGAGAGGAGCTCAAATGCTCTCATCATAAAGATGATACATTTTTATAATGATGGATATGCTAATTACCCGGATTTGATTATCACACATTGTATACATGTATTGAAATACAACTTTGTAGCCCATATATATATTCAATTATTACATGTCTATTAAAAAATCATAATTAAAGATCACCAAAAAATGTATAAATTGGCTAGGGGTAGATGGTAGCAAACATTAATATGCAAATCTTATTGTGATTTTGAGAAATCATGCTTTTGATATTTCCATTCTTTGGTTCACTGCTATTTTCCATGTTTTTTGGTTCACTCTGTACTTGTAGGGTGCCTAGAACATAGTAAGTACTCAGTAAATATTTGTTAACTGGTTGAAAGTCATCTGAGCAAGACATAGTTAATCTGCCATCATTCCTAACACACAGAGAGGGGAAAGAGCACTAAAAAGTAAAACAAAATACAAGCAAAAATAATTGGTAACTTCTTTGCTTTTATTCCAGCTTCAAGTTGTACTCTATGTTTCACTATCTTTAATTCCCTCAAGTAAAGTGGCCATGTTACGAATTAAGAATCATTTAAAAAGTTGAATGCTTTACCTATGATATTAAGTATTAATTTACTTGACCAATCCTAAAAAGAAAGAACATTAAATGTGATTCTAGAGTAGCAGCAAACTGTTCAATCTGTTATAAAAAATATTTTAGAACATATTTGATATTAAAAATTACAGCTGTGTATGCTTTTGAAGGTTTTTGCTTTTGAATTTTCAGTAAAAAATCTGCAACTGTTATTACCCAAGAGACTCACTTCCACCTACCAATGAAGAACATTGTTTTATTTTGCTTCCTAAACAATGTCTATTGTTTTGTTTTCATTCATTGCCAAATGGACAGTCTATTAGGAAATAAAATATAGTCTCTCAGGCAAAAAAAATTATAAATGTAACGATAGATTAAATAAAATAAAAAAATAACTAAAGAAAAGCTGTGAAGAGAATGAGGGAATAGTATAATTAAGTTCCTCTTTATAATGGGAAGAAAATGCTTAAAATCAATAAACGAAGAAATACAAGGGCAAAAATATTATTTAAGTTTATGGAAGTGACCGTGAAAACTAAAATAATAGAAACTTTCAAGAGTGGTTACCCTGGAACATTGCAACTAGGGGGGAGGGAGTTCGTATGTTTCATTCTTTACCTTTCTGTGCTGTTTGAATTATTTCCATTTGATATATGAGGGGGTCTTCAAAAAGTTCATGAAAAGATTTGTATTGTCATTTGATTCTACTTTCCAAGGACTTTTTGAAGTAACCTGACATTGTGCAATCTATATATTTTTGCATAGAAAAGTATGAGTAAAAAGATAATACATAGTCACATTTTGGTTACATATTTTACAGGCAATATACCAATGCGTAGGAAAGTATGTATTATTACTATTACTCATTACTTTTTAATGTTTCTCTTATAATGCAGAATCATGAGACAGAGTCTGCCTTATCATATCTACTTCTTTGGGGGACTGTTGCCCTTTTGGATTCTGTGCACACCCTCTACCAACAAATGCACTGTTAGAGATGCAATGGCTGATTGCAGTCACCTGAAGTTGACTCAAGTGCCTGATGACCTCCCCACAAACATAACAGTGTTGAATCTTAGCCATAATCAACTCAAGAGGTTACCTCCTGCCAATTTTACAAGATATAGCCAACTCACTATACTGGATGGAGGATTTAACTCTATCTCAAAACTGGAGCCAGAATTGTGCCAAAACCTCCCCTTGTTGAAAGTTTTGAACCTCCAACACAATGAGCTATCTCAACTTTCTGATAAAACCTTTGTCTTCTGCGTGAATTTGACTGAACTCCATCTGAAGTCCAACTCAATCCAGAAAATTAAAAATAATCCCTTTAAAAACCAGAAGGTAAGATGAAAGTATTTATTTCCCTATAGGAAATGAAAAATATGTTACCTTATGTTAAGTTTTCCAGTCACTTATTCATCCTTAGACTTCATATCTAGTATCAAGGTAAGAGTAAAAAATCTGATCTACCCCAACTGGGGTTGGGGAGACCCACACAGAAATATGACCATCATGATCAAAAATGCTTTCAAAAAAGAAAATATAATCTTAAATCAGTTTCAACCTTAATTTTAAAGAGGCCTGCCTCTCTCACTTTCTCTTATTAGAAATAGAACTTATATACATGAAGCAGAAGTCATGATCAGAGAAGAATCAGGATATCGCACGAGGAACATGGAAAATAAACTCTCAATGTTACTGATTTAGTATGTAAAGTTAATGGAAAAAAATATCGAGTCCAAATTTGAACTTAAATAAAGTTAACAAATTGATACAATGATAAAGTAAATTGTTCAACTAAAAATTACCAACTCTTGGTGTAAGAAATCTACACAAAGTATCACTTTTCCAATGGCTACCACCTTTTGCTTTCAGCACTTTTGCATATTAAATCTGTGAAAAATGCATATTATTGTCTCTAAACCCAAGGCAATTATGAAGTGTATTTCTTAAATCAAAGTCATCTTCAAGTTTCTTTGTTTTCTTCATTATGGTTTTATAAAAAATTGAGCATTGCTGATCCTCAAATGCCAAGAATAAAGTACAAATATAAACAGACTGAGAAACATTTATTAAGTGATTTGCTTCCTACCTATTTTAAATCTTTTCGTGTACCTTCTTAGATTCTGATGTGGATGAAATCTCTTTGGAAAAAAGGCCTCCAAGTCTATGGTTAGAGAAATCATTGGCAAAATGTTATTTTTCTTTTTAAAACATAAGTAAAGGTCTTGTTCTCTTTAATAGAAATTGCATTAGATTTCACCTGAACAGATACCAGTGTCTTCTTACCTTTTACCTGAGTTTTAATTAAGTTTACATGTTCAAAAGTAACATAGGGTGATAAAACAATCCCACAGTACTGACAAGACAAAAGTAATATTCTGTGCTAGTCACGATCCAAAATTTACATAACTATGGATCTTTCTCAATGTAAAAATCTTTTCAGGATTTTGTGAAAATTCTATTCATGTTTTTTAAGGAAACATTTTTTCTTACTTTTTCTGGTATTTACTTTCAAAGCTAATGCATGACACTATACATTTGAGAAGCCACATGGATATTCCTTGAACCATAAATGAATGCTTATTATAAGTAAATAAATAAATTAAGAATGATCCTTATATCATAAATAAGCTTAAATCCTTTTATTCTGATAAGAGAAATAAAGTGATTCTTGAAGTAAGAAACTAAATCTTTGCAATAGTGGTGCTTTTATTCGTAACAAAGATTATTTAGTACTCCTACTATAAGCTTTCTACAGAATAATGGAAGGGTGACATTTTGCTGTTGAGATATTTCTAAGATTCACTTATATTTAGAGAAACTGTTTTTGATGTCAAGACTGTAACATATATATATTATTTTTTTCCTCTCAGAATTTAGCCAAATTAGATTTGTCTCATAATGGTTTATCATCTACAAAATTAGGAACTCAGCTCCAACTGGGAAATCTCCAAGAGCTTCTATTATCAAATAATAAAATTAATGCACTGAGAGGTGAAGAACTTGATTTCCTTGCCAATTCCTCTTTAAAAAAATTAGAGTTGTCATCAAATCAAATTAAAGAGGTAAGAAGTAAGGTAAATTTATTTTGTGTTCTACCTTTAAGCATGGGTGGTCCCTAACTGTGTCACACAGAGAGGAATCTAAAGGTCCCAAGAGAAAGGAGGGATCATCTTTGCTGTATGTATTAATCCATTTTGTGCTGCTAAAACAGAACTACCTGAGACTGGGTAATTTATGAAGAAGAGAGGTTTATTGGGCTTACGATTCTGGGACAGCTGCATCTGGCATGGGCCTCAGGCTGCTTCTGCTCATGGTGGAAAGCGGCAGGCAGTGGTGGGTACAAGCAGATCACATGGTGAGAGAGGAAGCAAGAGAGACGGGGGGGAGGTGCCGGGATCCTTTAAACAACCAGCTATCACGGGAACTAATAGAGTGAGAACTCACTCATTACTTCCCTCACCTAGGGAGAGCATTAATCCATTCATGAGGGATCTGTCCCCATGACTCAATCAGTTTCCAGCACTGCCACATTGGGTATCAGATTTCCGCATGAGTTTTGATGGTGACAACACATCCAAACTCTATCACCATGTCTTCCAGAAATCCTTCATGACTACTACTTGGGGCAACAGGTGTGGTCCTCACAAGAGAGTTTTGGTAACAATTAAGAGATGGGACTCTGCTGTCAAGCAGCACTGGGTTAAATTCCTGGGCCATTACAGAACAGCCCATTGACCTTGGAGAACTGACTTCACCTCTCTGAGTTTTGGTTTCCTCACTTGCAAAGTAAAAATAGTACTCTCTGTCTCATGAAATCTCTGAAAGATTAAAATAGTATAATGGTTGAGAGCTGGGTTAGCTGGCTTCTTACCTGGGCTTTATTTTTTATAATTGTGTAATCAGGCAAGTTATTCGAGTTCTCTCTGTCCCCCAGTTTTCAAATTGGTGTAATTAGTAACACATCATAGGACTATGTGGTAAAGAATTTAGTACAGTGTCTGGCACAGAATAAGTGCTCAATAAATGACAGCTAGCACTATGTTACCATAAAAACCTTCCTAGTAATGTGAACTATGAACTTCAATTTAACTATTTTCATGTACAGGTATGTCTGTACTTTCTACATATTTTATTCATTTACAGGCTATAAGAATATTGGAAATCCTTAAGTAAAGCAGCTTTTTAAAAGCTGTATTGTTTTTCAGACATGAAAAATGAACAGTGTACAAAATTATCCTGAGATAATAATGAAATATTTTGTGCAAGCTACTCATTTTAATTTTTAAACAGTATTTTTTTCCTGACTAAAATATTTATTGTATTAATTTTATAAAATACATAAATAATGAGAAGGAATAAAAATGAAAGGTAATAAAAATCAAAAATTCACAATCAGAAACAACCACTGTTAGCATTTGGCTATATTTAGCTCTAGCTTTTCTCCAAGTAATTATAAGAAAAAACACAAGCAGCTGAAATTCAGAGTACTTAACTGTGTGCCAAGCACTTTTTCAAATTCTTGTTTTATATTTTATGTATTTAGTTTTTAAACCAGCTTGTTCTCATCATTTCACACAAGAGTAAGTTGAGTTGAAGAAGGGCGAAGTGACATATCTAAGGTCCCATGGGTGACCAGCTGGTGACACAGCTGGGTTTCCAGCACTGTTAGTGCCCAGCCCATGCTCTTAACAGCTGTGCTACATTGCCTGTTGAAGATAATAGTGTCTCCTGCTTTTTAAAATTAATATCACAATGTGAACATCTCCCATGTAATTAAGAATCATTCAAAAGCTTAGTTTTAGTGGCTACAAAATAACACTATCATGTAGATTTATCATAATTAGTTTAATAATTTCCTGCTTTGCATTTTAACTCATTTCATTTATAATAATACACACTTTCTCCCACACTTCTCTCTCTTTTTTTTTTTCCACTAGCCCTAACACCTCACAAGTGACACATTAGAAACTAGAGCCCCTTTGCTCCCCTGGTGGTTTTAACTGCTGGGTTCTGGCTGCTAACTATCGTCTCAGGATTCCTTCTGTCCCCTCTTCTGATCTCTTGTCCCAGCACTGAGTCCCAGTACAGCCAAGACTTCCATAAGGAAGTAGAGTAGGACTCAACACAGCAAAATAAAGTTGGGAGAAAACCTGGGTGAAAGACAGAAGGGATAGCTGGAGTTCAGAGCTCCAGAAGGGAGAGTGTGAGTCACTGTCTCATAACAAAATCCACCCATTCATTCATTCCTTTTACAGTGTTCACTGGTCACCAGGACAGAACCAGGATCTGCCCCAGTGGTGAAGTCACAAATAGTTTATCAGTTACAATCATACTCAGTGTGAGGAAGTGAAACTACCAGGAGACTTGACCTACACTGGAAGGTCAAGAAAGGCCCAATGAAGACGTGGCATTGAATTTGAGAAGAGAATGCTGAGCAGATGTCAGCCAGTGGCCAGAGGAAGTCAGGAGCTGTGGCAGCGGGTGGGTGACATGGCACAGAGTAAGGAAGGAGCTGTGCGTCAGAGGAATAGAGAGAAATGCCTGCCCAGGGAATGTGGTGAAAGGGAAAGGGAGATTGCATAAAGAATTGTGTCTAAGCTTTTCAAAGGACATGCAAAGTCTAGCGTATTTTAATAAACTCTTTTTCCCCTACTTTCAGTTCTCTCCAGGGTGTTTTAATGCGGTTGGAAAATTATTTGGTCTCTTTCTGAACAATGTCCGACTGGGCCCCAGTCTCACAGAGAAGCTTTGTTTGGAATTATCAAACACAAGCATTCAGAATCTGTCTCTGAGCAACACCCAGCTGTACAGAACCAGCAATACGACTTTCATTGGACTAAAGCAGACAAATCTCACCACGCTTGATCTTTCCTATAACAGCTTAAATGTGATTGATGATGGCTCCTTTGCTTGGCTTCCACATCTAGAATATCTTATTTTGGAGTATAATAATATAGAGCATTTGTCTTCTCACTCCTTTTGTGGGCTTTCCAATGTGAGACACCTGAATTTAAAACGATCTTTTAGTAAACAAAGTATTTCTCTTGCTTCACTCCCCAAGATTGATGATTTTTCCTTTCAGTGGCTAAAATCTTTGGAGTACCTTAATATGGAAGATAATGATATTCCAGACATAAAAAGCAATATGTTCACGGGACTGATAAATCTGAAATACTTAAGTCTTTCCAACTCCTTCACAAGTTTGCGAACTTTAACAAATGAAACATTTTTGTCACTTGCTGGTTCTCCTTTACACACACTCAACCTAACCAAAAATAAAATCTCAAAAATAGAGAGTGGTGCTTTCTCTTGGTTGGGCCACCTAAAGACACTTGACCTTGGCCTTAATGAAATTGGGCAAGAACTCACGGGCCAGGAATGGAGAGGTCTAGAAAATATTTTTGAAATCTATCTTTCCTACAATAAATACCTACAACTGACTAGCAGCTCCTTTGCCTTGGTCCCAAGCCTTCAACGACTGATGCTCCGAAGGGTGGCCCTTACAAATGTGGATAGCTCTCCTTCACCGTTCCACCCTCTTCATAACTTGATCATTCTGGATCTAAGCAACAACAATATAGCTAACATAAATGATGAAATGTTGGAGGGCCTCAAGAAACTAGAAATTCTGGATTTGCAGCATAACAACCTAGCACGGCTCTGGAAACATGCAAACCCTGGTGGTCCTGTTTATTTTCTAAAGGGTCTTTCTCACCTCCACATCCTTAACTTAGAGTCTAATGGCTTTGATGAGATCCCAGCTGAGGTCTTCAAGGACTTATCTGAACTAAAGAGCATTGATTTAGGATTGAATAATTTAAACATACTTCCACCATCTGTCTTTGACAATCAGGTATCTCTAAAGTCATTGAGTCTTCAGAAGAATCTCATAACGTCAGTTGAGAAGAATGTTTTTGGACCAGCTTTCAAGAACCTGAGTAATTTAGATATGCGCTTTAATCCATTCGATTGTACGTGTGAAAGTATTGCTTGGTTTGTTAGCTGGATTAATGAGACCCATACCAACATCTCTGAACTATCAAGTCATTACCTCTGTAATACTCCCCCTCAATACCATGGGTTCCCAGTGATGCTTTTTGATATATCAGCCTGCAAAGACAGTGCCCCCTTTGAACTTCTTTTCATAATCAATACTAGTATCATATTGATTTTTATCTTTATTGTACTGCTCATACACTTTGAGGGCTGGAGGATATCTTTTTATTGGAACGTTTCAGTGCACCGGGTCCTTGGTTTCAAAGAAATAGACAGACAGCCAGAGCAGTATGAATATACAGCATATATTATTCATGCCCAAAAAGATAGGGATTGGGTCTGGGAACACTTCTCCCCGATGGAAGAGAAAGATCAATCTCTCAAATTTTGTCTGGAAGAAAGGGACTTTGAGGCAGGCATCCTTGAACTCGAAGCAATTGTTAATAGCATCAAAAAGAGTAGAAAAATCATTTTTATTATAACACATCATCTGTTGAAAGATCCATTATGCAAAAGGTAGGTGAACATTGTAAAATTTTAAGTATGTACTTGTTTTCAATTGAATTTTCAAATTATCATTATCACTCAACTCAGTTTTAAAAATAAAATTAAGAAAAAATATAACTTGTTGTTAGAGACAGATTAAAGTAAATTCTACAGAGAATTTTAGATTGTAGAACTTTTGGCTGTTAAAAACTGTGTATTGGTTATATAGCTTAATTCAATATATATATATATATATATTTATTTTTTTTACTTAGATTCAAGGTACACCATGCAGTTCAGCAAGCTATTAAACGAAATCTGGATTCCATTATATTGATTTTTCTTGAGGAGATTCAAGATTATAAATTGAACCATGCACTCCGTTTGAGAAGAGGAATGTTTAAATCTCACTGCATCTTGAACTGGCCAGTTCAGAAAGAACGGATAAACGCCTTTCATCATAAACTGCAGGTAGCACTTGGATCCAGAAATACAGTACATTAGATTTATTTAAAGATTAAATTAGAAAAGGAGTAACTTTCCCAATTTAAAAAGTTCCATGGTACATTTAAGTTTTCCTTGAAAGTAATGAAATCTGTTTATTTATATTTATAGGTAATGGTATTATATCACAATTATATGTCTTCTACAGAAATACGTCTCCCCATTTCAGTCCTCTTATTGACAATTGACTTAATTTGACCCAAAATAAACATGTAAGCATATAAGAACATCCTCTACTAATGAGTACGCAATTGGTCACTGAGGCCTATGGCAGCTTAAAAGAGATTAAAAATATTTCTTATTTAAAGAAAAGTTTTAGTTACATGAGGGCTTGTGATAATCATTTTCTGAATACATTTATAGTAGAATGAATAATAATTGTTTTAATGGGTATAATGCTACTTTAATTGTAAAAGAGTAAACTATTTAGCACATTTAAAAAAAATTATAGTACTTTGTCAATTGAAAAGCTCTGTATTTTAGATGTGCCTGTCCCAGTGATGATTTTTTCAATGTTAAATGCCTTTTTAATATGCATACCAAAGGGCTGAAAACATTTGCAATTTGTTTTGATTACTTAATGAAATAAATATTTTAATAAATGCTTACTTGCATTTTCCTGATATTTGGGTTTCTGCTACAGGAGGGTGGAAACACTTCTCTTAGTTAAAAGTTTTGTAGAAAGGCTTGCTTCCTGAAGGTTAATTAGTAGATTGGCTTTGTGGAAACAAAGAATTTTCCTTCTCTGGTCACAGACTCAGGAGATGGCATTGGCCAAATTACTTAGTCCCAGTGGGATTCTTTGACTCCTGATCTTGAAAATTATGATGATAAACAAAATCTTAAATACTCCTGTGTAATTAGTGAGGATTGTACCATAAAATAATATACGATATGTAAGTTAATCCAGAAAGACTATTAAGTTTTATTTTCATTTTAAAACAAAAATGTTTTATAGATGTAATAGCTTTTTGAAATATTTATAGTTCTGGTATTCAAATATAATATATAATTATACAATTATAATGCTGAGTTAATATCTGTTCTTGAAATGCTCATTTGTCTGTTGAATTTAGGGAGCATTTTCAGATGTCATATTTTGGAACTTTGATTTAAAGAGTTTGATATTCTCAGGGCTAAGTTCACATAACCTTGGAATAATTAATATCCACTGAATTGCTAGTTGTGAAGGAGGCTACAGTCTGCCAGCAATGTGAATATATGGAGAGAACTAATCTTCACTTTCTTGTTATTTGCATGCTTATCCCTGAGACATTTGTTTTATAGCGTTTTAGTTAATATTTGTTTTTTAACTTTGAAATAATCCTGTTTTATTTTGGCAACATAAAATAAAAATCACAACTACTTCTTTTCTTCGTATGCTTTGTATGTTATCAATATTCTCAACTCTTCATAAAAATATTTCAAAATGAGTTATTATAAATTAGTCAATATATCATCAATTTGTGAAAAGCTGGGGAGGAAATAATTTTGCTTTTATTCTCTTGTTTATTTGCTTATGAGATAGTTGATCAAATGGCCACAATTTAAATTGAGTTTAAATGTGATTTTTTAAAAGTTGCTTAATATTTAAGAGGTTAAGATACACAAGGAATGACCTGTTTATATGAATACAAGTAAAACTAATAAAAGGTGTGAAAGCTGACTTGTATTTGACCTCCACAGGAAGCAACATCCTGAACCTCTGCAGGCTGTCCTTTATAATTGTTCTCAGGAGGAGTCCTTGCTCCTCGGGGATTGCAGGAAAGGATGTTTGTCTGATCTCCTGTCTAATTTCCACAAGTGACCTGACTTGTTTGAATACTCTCTGGCTGCCCTCATATAATTTGTTCACTCCAACTCCTTCCTGTATTTTGCAAAACAAAATTCAACTAAATCAACAATAAGTTTAAAATAAATCTCAGTATTTAGTTTTTACCTAAAAAATGGTATCCTTTAGATTGTAATAAGAAGTAGATGCAATCAATGTGTTAGTGAGGAGCAAGGTTTTCTATGTTACTTATTTAACAATGCTTAATTATTCAAATATATACCTTAGATTGTTTGTAAAGGGGACTCAATAGTAAGTGTATCTCATTAGAAAATGTAAAGATGCCTCAAATCAAAAACTTCAAAAGTATTTTTTATAATCTATAGTGACAGAAAATAGATTCGTAGTTGTTTGGGTGTAGGGACAGAAATGGAGAATGACTGCATATAGGCACAAGAGATCTTTTCGGGGTGATGAAAATGTTGAAAAATTGAATGGTGGTATTGATTGCACAACGTAGACGTTTACTGAAAATCATTGAACAGTATACTTAAAGCAGTCAAGTCTTATGGTATGTAAATTACATATTCAATGAAGGTGTTAAAAATAGTATTCATTGAGCAGCTACACCTGCCCAGCCCTGTGCAAACTACCATGTTGTATAACAGGATGTAGGATACAGTTGTAGGAAATGGGGCAATAGGAGTTAGGGTGGGAAGGGATTATCAGAGATGGACCCGGACAGGGAAAGCTCCATGGAAGAGATTCAAACCCTTTAAAGGTGAGAGGGATCTGGTGAGGAGGGAGAAGATGGCAGAATGGATAGTAAGATCAAAGGTAGGGAGGGAGACAGGAACTTGGTGTTGAGAGACGGTAGGGACACCGAAGAGGATAGAACCATGGTGCAGAGAGCATGACAGAGGAACTGAGATTTAATGAGGTAGGTATTTTGAAGTTGTGACTCCATAGGTTTCAACTGGCAAAATGAGACACAATAATAAAATTCCTTTCTGTGATCTATGACTTAGATTTAGATACATGACAACTAGTTGTACAGAGGCATGTAGCTCACAACTTCACAGTCCAAAGAGCCCGACTTACCTTCATATAACAGAAGGAGCTTTGAAGCACATGTGTTCTCCCTATAAACATGTACATCTGCCTTGCTTACCCTGATGCATTTTTGATACAAAGATTAGATAAGACTCAGCCACTGTTGACATTATCTGTTGAACAAAAGTTAATTACAGATTCAGGGGCTGATGTTACCATAATTGCTAAAAAGGATTGGACTCCATTATGGAAAGTAACTTCTTCTCCAGTTACACTTACTGGATTAGGCGGGTTCAAAATCCCTTATCAAAGTAAAAATCCTTTGTTGTGTACTGGCCCCGAAGGACAAACTGCCTCCATTATGCCTTATGTTCCAGATCTCCCTCGAACTCTATGGGGCTGAGACCTCAATGGGATATTTATATTGGGACATCTCCAAAATTTATCATGATGGCCACAGCCACACTCCCACCAGTCAAATTACAATGGACCCCTGGTCCTCCGGTTTGGGTGGAACAGTGGCCTCTTACAGGGGAGAAATTAAATCAAACGACTTTACTTGTTAAACAACAGTTACAAATGGGACATTTTGAGCCATCACATAGTCCCTGGAATACTCCCACTAAATCTTTTGCTACTGTTAGACAGGGACCCCCTGAGACTTATATAGATTTTATTAATCGTCTTCAAGATGCTATAACTAGACAAATTGACAATGCTCATGACAATCCAGAACTGCTGTCACAATTATTTACATTTAATCAAACAAGTTAATAATGCTGATTTACAAATAGCTCCAGATAAAATTCAAAAAAAGGAGCCCTGGAAATGCCTTGGTTTTTTAATCATTCAGAGAAGTACACAGCCACAAAATACATCTTTCCATATTTAGGAGCCTGTTACTGTAAATGATTTACAAAAATTACTTGGCCATATTAACTGGTTCTGCCCTTCTATGGGTATTCCTACTTATCAATTACAACATTTGTTTAATACTCTAAAGGGAGACCCTGATCTGTGCTCCCCTCATTATTTATCTGAAGAAGCAAAATTAGAATTAAAACAGATCGAATCTTTTTTACATTCTGGACAATTAACACATATTGTTAAATCTCAAGTCATTAATTTCATTATTTTAACCACCCCACATAGTTCCACAAGTTTGCTTTGCCAATTTCTTCCTCAGATGGGAGTCATTGAATGGATTTTCTTACCCCATCAACAAAAAAAGAAATTATATACTAAATTAGAACAATGTATTCATTTACTCACTAGGGGAACACACCGTTGTCAATTACTTACTGGGTATGATCCTGATATTATTAATCCTGGCCCTTTATCAATTGGAAATGATATGGCTGATCACTTTGTTATGTATAATAATGTTTTACAGAAAGCTATTGATTCTCATCAGTTTTTTCACCAGGGTGCACAAGCTTTGGCTAACATGCATCAGATCTCTTACAGGCAAGCTCAAGATTTTGTTTGTGCTTGTCCCAATTGTCAGAGGTTTTCTAAATCTAATTTTCCTGGAGGAGTTAATCCTTGAGGAATAAAAGGTAATGAAATTTGGCAAACGAAAGTCTCTCATTATTCCACTTTCAGAAGTCTTAAATATTTACATGTTACTGTTGATACTTACTCGGGTCTTATTCATGTCACTGCCCAAACAGGAGAAACTGCTAAACATATTAAAAAACATTGTGTTCCTGCCTTTGCTGCTATGGGGGTTCCAAATCAAATTAAGACAGATAATGGACCAGCATACACCTTCAAAGTCTTTCAAGTATTCTGTGACAACTGGAACATTAAACATGTCACAGGAATCACATTTAACCCTGCAGGCCAGGCAATTGTTGAAAGAGCTAATGGCCTTCTTAAATCTCAAATAAGTAAACAAAGGAGAGGTAATATAGATATAGGAATGGTCCCTCATGAACAGGTCTTTAAAGCTCTGTTTATGCTAAATTTTTAAAATTGTAACTCTCAAAAATTAACAGCCACAGAGTGGACACCTTATACCTCCTAAAAAGAGACCTAGACCCTTGGTTTTATACCGCCGCCGGCTGACTGGACCACAATGGTTGGGACCTGTCGAATTGTTAACATGGGGGAGAGGGTCTGCGTCTGTTCTCTCACCCACAGGCCCGCCATGGATTCCTGCTAAGGCTGTTAAACCTTATGTGGAACCCAAACCAGATGAGGAATTGAATCTGATCCCCAAATCTCAGTGCCTCACTATCACACCTCAGTCCATCTCACTGGGGTTGGTACACATCAGACCACCAGTAATAAAAATAATGACAACAAGCTTCAAATTGACCCGGGGTAAATTTAAAAACTTCAGCAGTCAAATAGCTTTCAATAGCTCAGCCCTTAAGCTCAGTAACTCATTTGAGAAACAAAAACTAGACTAAAATCTACCTGTTTAACTAGATGGTCTGAAATTTTCTGGCATCCAGCTGGTTATCTTAAACAGACTTCTAAATTCTCTTCTAGGCTCATCTATGCATTTCTTCACAAAATCCTCTGGTAAAGTTCTATGCATTAAAAAATAAAAAAGAAAAGAAAACTTTCTCTGTATCTTCTTTTATTTTTTTTTCCTTTTTTGTCTTTTTTACTGACCGGTAACGGGATCGCAACCCTTGGTGTTG